TTGGCCGGTGCCATGCTCGGAGGCACCTCGGCAGCTGGTGGACTCGAACTCGAAACCCTTCCTCAACCACCAAGCCACCAACCCCCCTTGTATTAACATATCTTATCTTATGTCTTATATCGTTTTTTGGATTCAATACTGAGGTAAAAGCCAAGAACAATAAATTCGCAGAGCTCACGTGTACCTAGTTTGATAAAAACTGCCAACTGATACTACTGTGCCAGTACCTCAGCATATCCCCTAAGACGGGGGGCGTCAAACTCAAATTCACTGTGGGCCAAAATTAAAAACTATGACAAAGTCGCGGGCCAAACTTGATATTTATTTAAAAATTGACTGGAAATGTGCACGTTTTCTTCTACTTCTCTCCAGATATGTAATTTATAAAAATAAAAATATAATTTTTTTTTTTATACAGAAACCCCCTTTAGTTCTCTAGCCTTTTGAGTTCCTTTTAATTTAACTACAAATCCCACCAGTATATAGTGGCTACAAAATGGTGGACCAACTCTAATACACATTTGATGATGATCTCACGGGCCAAATATAATCACACCCGGGGCCATATATGGTCCACGCACCTGAGTTTGACACCTGTGTCCAAAGAGCTCCCTGCCTTATAAGAAATAATTTTTTTTTTTAAACTTCAGTTGTCCGAGTGTCACGGCTCCATCTGTCCAGGGTGTGTGTGTGTGTGTGGTGAAAATTTATGATCTAACAGATGCTAGCGACAAGCGTTGACTGTATGAGACCTGACACCAGGGCGGTGATTGAAGACGGCGAGAGAGACTGACACCAGCAGCACGAGTGGAGCTACTTTACACTCGACCGTGTTCAGTGAAGCAGCCTGAGCAGAGACTCCGAGGCTGGGACGTAAGTAAAAGCCATTTCCATATCAGTAGCAAAGTAATATTCAAAGGAACCCTTACATCTGATCACTTAAAACTGAATTTGAATGAGGCCCCAAATGGATTGAGAGCAGAGCACTCTGGGTCAACGTTAAAAATGCTCTTAATTTCCGGTTGCATTTTAATATCCTGGCCTTTTGTAAAAACATACTTTAATCTTCAAAACACTCTTGTGTGTTACTTTCTTGACTCTCGGTGCTGCATTAACCCGGTAAAAGTCCTCAGCGCGGGGCCGAGGAGGTGATTCTGCGCAGGGAAAAGTAAGCGGTGCTCGCTGGAGCTTTTTTAACTTCAAATGTCACATGCGGCGTTCCTCCGCCTACATTTCAGAAGCGGCTGTGCGTCCGCAGCGCGAGCGTGTGGATGTTTTCCCTGCGATAAAGAACTGAGCCGCGTTGAAATGTCAGTCTACTTTGCATGAGCAAAAGCCACCGTACTTCCCGTTTCCTTTGGGTTGCACATCACTTTTTCCACTTCCTCTTTAAAGGAAAGCAGGCACGTGGCTGAGCTATTGCCCTTTATGGCGTTTTATATGGCCCTTGAAATACGGCCACATTGTAGGGACGTTTTAAAACCATTCCCTCTAACGTTCACACCTCTGGTTCATCTAGAGCGAACAATCAGCCCGGCGCTGCATGATGTTGGACTTTGGAATTAAACTAGATTCCCTGGAATAACTCTACACAAAAAGACCAACAGTTTCTGCCAGGAATTGGAACCGATGAAGCCCTCGCTGCAAGGCAGGAGCCAGTAACCCTTGTCCACCCTTCGCCCCCATCATCTGTAACAGATCGAATTTACTTTGACAATACAATACAACACTTCTGACTGACCTCTGCTGTCCACTGACTTCTGCTACTTTTTTTTAAATGCCTTACTTTTCCTGGCTCTGCTTGACCTTCAACGCAGAAGAGCTCAACTTTTAGGTATGAAAACTAAACACGGGTCTCTGGGATTTAAACATAATGAAATCTGTTCCCCAGGGATTGGAGACGCACCGTGGGGGGGGAGGGGCGGGATCAGACCAAGGTACAGTCCAGTAGCTGAGTCTCCTGTTTACACTGATTTACAGTGATCAGATAAGGTCAATGACATAATGAAGACTTCCAGAAAATCAAACGGCGTCTTATCATTTCACTTATCATTTCAAACTGCACTCCCGTCTTCACGCTCAGCTGGGTGAATTTTAATGGACTTTTTCTCCCAGTCCTCTGACACCGGCTCATTCAGGACACCACTGCTCTGCCAAGGACTGAGAGACTGATTTTAAAGCACTTCGGCTTCTTTAAAATTCACTCTGATGTGCCACCAGATCCAGCAGCTTCACATCTGAAACCAGTCAGCTCTCCTCTGCTGATTGTTCGAAAGGATTGAAAGGAAAAACAGATTCAGCTTTTGGAGCAGCACTTTTTAAAATAAAAAAAATAAATAAATAATCGGGACTCGAGACTTGCTTAACCTGAGGCTTTTAGGAGCATCTACTGTATTTTTTGAAGTACTCTCGACTTAAATGAGAATAGTCACGTGATGACAAAAATAGTGCAGTAATGCACAATGTTTAATGCTAGGGGTGATAATACAGTCCTTCACCCCATTTTAAGGCTCATTTTTAAAAAAAAAAATGGTACTTTGTTTGTATATGTATTCAGTAGAAAATGTACCAGTCTTCCTAACGCTCTGACAGATGGAGTTTAAAAACTAAGGTTACCTGTAGGAAACAAGCTTCAGCCTAGACATGAAGTGAAGGCAGCACAGAAATCTGACAGAGGCGGTGTCTTGCTAAAAAAAAAAAAAAAAATCCAGGTTTAGCGTCTGAAGTGTCTCTGCAGGACTGCACCAAAATGCTATTATTGGAACCAACCCCGTTTTAGAAAAGTTGGTCCACTTCCTTTTTTTGTTTTGCAATTAAAGCAACATCGTTAGTTTGATAAATCATGCGGTGAGACAAAAGGACAAAGAAATGACTTCTATCGGTCGGACAAACAAGCTCTGGTTCGAATGGTGGTTAGTGGTTAATAAGATCACCTGTTCCATCCCTGGTGGCCATTGATCTGGGTGTGGGGTTTTTTTTTTTTCGTCTGGCGATTGGCTCCAGCTCCTCCTGCAACCATGAAAAAATTAGCTTTACAACAATCGCAATGCCGTGGCACACTAGTGTGAGATCGGGGATAGATCATCAGGTTAGGTGACATCGCACTATTATTTATATACAAATACTTTGTCTGTGTTCCTCAGCGGGACCTGGACGGGCAGAACAATTAAATGTTCTTCAACTAGAGGGCAGCAGATGGCTACTAGAAACTAGAAAAAGTGAGTGACTTACAGCTGTTGAAGGAAATTCTTCTGTGTGTGTGTGTTTCTTCAATTCCTGTGAGTATATCGCTGTTGTTTTCAATGAAACAGGCATAGGTTTCACAGTGACTGTAAATTGTGAGTAAAAACTAGAAAAGTTGAAACTAGAAAAGAGCATCGACATTTCTGCTCGGAGGTGCGCCGTGGGTCTTTTTCTACTGTAAAATGTCTCCCGTGGTTAATGAAAGAATGAATAAGTGAATGAATTCATTAATGAGAAAAGACAGCGGTGATGTAAGAGCGTAAAGGTCATACAAGCATAAGCAAAGCATCAATCCAAAAAGTATCATCAGCCAATCCGAGGACAAGGTTTCTCAGCAGAGATTGTGAGCCTGTCACCTTCTACAGTTAAGACCACTGTCCAAAAAAAAAAAAAAAAAAAAAATCGGAAAGAAAAGATAAATCTGCGCGTGGTGTGCGCACGTGTGTGAAAGTCAAGCGGAGAGTTTTGATCTCTGAGCCCTAAGGTGGTGAGGCATTACAGTGATGAACATATGGTTTCAAGACTACTTAGGGAAATCACTGTGGTTTACCACAGTCTGTTCCTTCATTAAAAAAATACCACCTGAGACTGTGTCTTGTGAGGAGAAAGACATGCATCACTTTTTTTTTTTGTAAAGAAAGAAAAGTAAAATTCTCGAGGCCCACGTCTGTCTGACTGACTAAGAAGTGAGTCTGTTTTTAACCTTTTTAGTGGGAGGAGAGATGTTGCATCCAATAGAGGATAAGGATAAATGCGACCGTCCAGAAAATGGCTGGTGCCAAGACTTCAGATAGTGGTGACTGGAGTGTTGAGCAGCTCCAGTCAAACTGACGCGGTTATTAGCATCATTTGACTGTAAAAGATTAGAAGAAGAAGAAGAAGAAGAGTGTTGATAAAAGCCATGTAGACAAAATGAAAACACAACAAATCATTTTCCCTTTATCACATCAAAGGTCAGGGGCATGATCCAAATACATACAGTATATGTGAGTTTTATTGCATCGTTCAAAGTGTACCAACTTTTATGACCACGGCCTGTCCCGCGACTGCCACTGAGTGAGAACTCTTTATTGGATAAACGCTGTTTTAGAAAGGTGTCCTCATCATATACTCGTCAATTGTCGCGCTGTTGTTGCATTTCATAATTCAGGTTTTTGAATCCCTCCAACTTAACTGTTTTTAAATCTGAGCAAACTGTTAAAACTATTACAAACTCCATGACAAAATTTGATTTATTTTTAAATTTTGCAAAAAGCAAAATTAACCAAATGTCCCCCCAGAATTCTACAATAAATAGTAAACTATTTATTATTTCAACAAATAAAGATTTATTTTCACTGTGACATGGAACTTTGGACTTACCCTCTTGATATTCAGGCTCCCCCTGATTTCCAGGAGCAGAATCAGAGAGCCTTCTGTCCCAAAGTAGCATGCGTCATAAAAATAGTTGGTCCACTGATAACTGAGAAGGCCATGTTTCACTACAGTAGGAGGTTTTAAATCGTTAGCTGTGCTGCTCACACATTTCTGGGTGTTTCCTCGTGAAGGAGGAGACGTTGGAGCTCGGTTCATTTCACAGTATATTGTTGACTTGGACATTCCACATCCATCAACTCCGAGACACCTGCTACATTTCTGACAGACGTTCATACGTGTGAACGAACATGTCGTCGGCCTGCCAAGTTCTTCTGTACATGTAAAAGGATCCACGCCACAGCTACTGTGCCTCCAGTGTGACACCAAGCGGTCAGTTTGGGGGACTGCCGTGAATGGAACAGGAAGTGGCATATTTTTTTGCTCGAAAATTAGCAGCGACAGTTAGTTAATTTCTAAAGTTGTTCCAGACTTCGAATTCAGTATTATATATAAATATAAACGCAATGTTGCTAGATAACAGAGAAGATATGCTCCACTGCACTACGGTACAAAACACAATCCCCGTAGCGTAGTTTATTTTAACCTTAAAATTCAATTCAAATTGTTGTTGTTAAGGGGTTAGAAAAAAATACACTGCCCCCTAACGTCGTGATTTTAACCTTGGATTTGAGAGTTGACTGGAATTGAGTTTAGATTTTGAATGTGCGTGTGTGGTCTCACGGGAATTGCATGTTCTTTTGTATCAACCTTTAACTTGCTGTTTACCTACTTTAAATTATATAAATATTGTTATTAAAATAAATATCCAAGAATACATTATGATTAACTATAGCTTTGTCATGTTTAATTCCGGACCGACAATAATAGCACAGTAAAAGCAAAGCGTCAGAAATGGGGAACGATCACTGACATGGGCTAAAAGTGTATTAGCAAAACTCAAAGCACTTCGTAGTTAAGTTACACATTGCAATTAAAAAAAAACCCCTGCAGTTAATTTCAGTCGTACTCAGCTTCTACTGTCAGAACTGTGCCTGCAGTTAATTTCAGTCATACTCAGCTTCTACTGTCAGAACTGTGCCAAGGATTGTCACAGCATTTAAATAGCTGGGCAAAAATGTATTTAAAAATGTCTATTAACACATTAACTAAGTTAATATGCAGCCAAACTAAGGAAAAACTAAATTTTCCTACCGTGATGGACATTAAATTACTGGCACAAATTTGACCAGTCCCATACACCACGGGCAGGTGGCGTGTGGAATAATCAGTCAGCAGAAAATCACAAAGAAATGGGGTTAGTGCTTCCCACAGGTTGCTGCTTAGACAAGGTTTGAGCTCAATCTATAACCAAACATCGTTCTGTCCTCACATCTGAAATGAAAAAAAAAAAAGAAAATTCCACATCTGCAACTCGGGTTGTAAAAATATCTCCAATCTATTTTGTAAAGCAAAGGCAAACAAACAAGTATGAGGAGGTGAAACAGGAGGTGGAAGCAGAGAAGATGGTCACGGTGTACAGAAGCCGGTCGACAGATATGTTAGATACAGTTCCGATGGCACTGAGCTTTCATGTCTGTATGTCTGTGAGTACACAGACCATTTATCTTTAATATTGATTTATCAGAGAAATTAATTACATTACAAGCATGGCTACATTATAATTCTGAGACAAATCCAAGTGAAGAGAAAATAAAAATACAAACCTCAAATTTTAAAAAGATGTACAGAAAATGAAGTAATTTAAAAACCGAACCTGCGAATGGATGAGACAGGTCATAAATTCTTAGGACAAACTGCAACTGGCTTGATCATTGGTATTTACACTTTTATACACACGCCTGATGCGTCATCAGTATTTACAATGATACTGCAGAAAAACTAGAGTAAATGTATGGCAATGAGGCCATTTGATGGTGGTGACATGCAGGGAACGACTGGATGGTTTTCTTTTAGTTCTTACTGTTCCCTGTATTAACCGTCACAATCTGTTACAAACATAACTGTTTACAACCTGGTGGACAGGACAAAAAAACAAATAAGTTACTTGTGTACAAGAGATCACATGGGAACCAAGGCTGACTGATGTGCTGGCTGAAGCCTTATTTTTTGTTACACAATCACTAACATATTGGTGGTTTTAAAAATAATCGTAACATCAGCCAACGTTTTTTTTTAAAGGTTAACAGCAGTGCCATGAGGGCTCAATGATGGCTTTCAGTCTGAAAAAAAAAAAAAAGTCCAAAATATGTGCCGTTTGCATAGTTTCAATGTGGTTTGTGTTTCTTTTTCTTGTGTTTTTTGTCCTTCTTCTTGCTGGAACATTTAACACAGAACCATGACTGGTCCTCAGGGGGCGCTGCATGGATCCCAACACAGGGCCTGTACAGAGAAGAAGTTCATCTCAGTGAAAAATTGTCACATTACTAGTCCAAAAACAATTGTTTAATTTGTCTATGTGGCAGTCAAAACAAATACTCTTCCACTAGGTGGCAGCAAATGGCCAGAAAAAACAAGAATGGAGACTCAGAACTGTTGATCTTGTCTTTCTTTACTTCCTGCTTGTGTATCATTAGTTGTTGTGTTTAAACAGACTTAAGTAAAACATGGTGGATAGCAATTTTAAATAACTGCAGGACAATTTTAGGTAAATGCATTCACATTTTAGTTAAATCTTGGCTATTGAGGATTCAATTTAAGTATGACTAATATTTTTCTGTTTGGTTTTACAGGTACCTTTTTTTAATTTTCCAAAACAATTATTCGTTTCTTCTACAGGTAGCTTTTTTTTAAAATTTTCCAAAACAATTATTCATTTCTTTTAAATAGCTATTTAGCCAACATTTAGGATGTTAATCAAAATACTTTATAGGCTGTAGAAAGTTGTTGAAATTGGTAACACAACACTGTTCTACAGAAAAAAGCCATGTGTTCAAATAGTGTTTTAAATGTAACTGTTCAATTCAAACAACTAATAACTTGTTTAACTTTTAAAGACACAAACATTTTCTCCAGTAATGCCTTAGGAGGTACAGTGTAAGTGCTTTTTTGACCGGCTCAAAAACAATCATTTGTTTTTAATTATTCTATTATGGCTAGAAACCTTCATAAACAGAAAATGAAAACAGAATTCATTAAAGAATTTCAAGTGATGTTGCCCATTTCAAAAGCCTGGCAGCAGATTAACCTCTTTGGCAGAGGTGGAGGAATATTATGAGCCGTGTTAATCACAACATTAAAAAGTAATTCTGGCTAAACGGACTACAGCTGCCCAAGTGTTGTTCTGTGGTTCATCATCACAGTGTAACATTTCGAATGTTCATATAGCGGACTCATAAACAATGGTTATAGGTCTACTTAACACACTAAAGCGAAGAAAGTTGAAGGGGCCACAGACACGGTCATGAAAAAGTGTGTAAGGTTACGCCTCCATTTTCAACAAAAACAAATATTTTGGTACGCTTTTGCTGTTAATTAGATGTCTAAACACAAAGGAAACGTCAATCCGAAAAAAAACAAAACAATGTTCTCACCAATGATACCAGTCATCACAATCATCACATCCTATCATTGGACTGCCATCATCAGGTTTGTTGCATCCCGGACAAATCCAGATCTTATTTCCCCATTCATCTCGGATCTGAGGGCAAACACAAACCACGTTGTCATAAACAAAACCTAACTAACCCATAAACTGGGTTTGAATAACTCCATAACCACGCAACACAGTGGCAGGTAAGACTAATTTCATAGATTCTCTCTTATGCGGTACATTCACTGATCACCTACACTAAAATAAACCTGTAAACTGAATCACACTGAGAACAGATCCATTTGTCATAAAGCAGTGAAAACCACCATTTTACAATGCAGCATTAAGGACTCACCACGTAGGCACTGACGGTCTCAGTTACCACACTGCGGACTGGTGTTTTGGTGGGAGCAGCGGGAGAATGCACGGACGCCAGTGAGAGCAGAGAGGAAGGAGCAGGAGCCACGGGTAAAGGAGCCACAGGTGGAGGGAGAATGGTTGCAACTGGAGAAAGAATAGGGGGAGGTGGCAGTGGTGGTGGCGTTCGAGGGCGGTTGCCTGGTCCTGACTTGGCGACAGGGGTCTTGGGTGTCGGTGTCTTGGACTCTGAATTTGGAACCACCTTGCTGATAACACTGCAGTGGAAAGGAGAGAAATGTGTAGTTAAAAACCCCAAGAAAGTGTAATCAATGATAACAATTATCCTCAATTTTAGCAGTATTGACTTAAACGTAACTCACAGTGGGGGCGTTTTATTCAGACTTTAAGCAATCAAACCCTAATATTTGTGAGCACACAGGCTAAAAGCACATGATCACTGAATGTTGATTTTTGACAGAATATAACAGATTCATATGAATATATGACATGAAAAGGAAAATGGAAAAAAAACTTTTGCTGCAGTGAAATGTCTCTGCGAGACATTTTGCATTAAGCACAACAAAAAACGGGCTAAATTCAATCACTGATTATGTCATATGTAGATGAGGAAAAGATGAGAGCCAATCAGAGCTATGTTTGTCGATGAGGAAAAGATGAGAACCAATCAGAGCTATGTTTGTTGGTTCTGGGGCGGGACAACTAAATAGAGATCCCACTATTGTGAAACTATATAATATGTATAATGTAATGTACAGTATATGTTTATGTTGATGAATAATCCATAAACTACCATGACATCCATTATAACTAAATAACTAATATATGTTGGATAAATCATAGTAAATAGTAAAACGAATGACAATGTTCTATAAAATATACAATATAAAAATGCCATCAAAGCCAAGTTAAGATTTTTTTAAACATGAAAATATTAGAAATTGTAATTTAATGGACTAAAACCTATTTTATTTTTGTTCTTACATTTTGTCCTGTCCTGCTCCCACTCTGAGCGTCAGTCTAGGAATTACTGGTGAAGGGAGAGGAGCTGGAGTTTCCACTTTCACCTGAAGGAACAGGAAGAACACCTTTAATGTAAATAATACACAGAGACTCACAAACTGACAGACTGCACCACAACAGTTACCTTCTCTAGCTTCAGTTTCTCCTTTTCCTTTTCCTTCTCCTTTTCCCGTTTTTCCTTCTCTCTTTCCTTTTCTTTCCTCTTCTCTTCTTTCTCCCTCTCCTTTTCTTTGGCCTTCTCCCGCTCCTTTTCCTTGTCTTTCTTTTTCTTTTTCTCCTTCTTGTCTTTCTTCTTGTCCTTCTCTTTGCTCTTGACATCTTTTTCCTGGATCATGGGGGCCAAAGGAGGAAGAATGTTGGTCATCCTCAGACAGGCAGAGGGGCTGAACAGTGGAGGTACTTCACTCAGAGCAAACGGAGCCAAAGCCGACTGTTTCTGCCTCTCCTCCTTGTTTTTGTCTTTACCCTTCTCTCGTTTGTCTTTGTCCTTTTTGCTTTTCTCTTTATCTTTCTTTTTGTCCTTGTGCTTTTCTTTCTCCTTTTTAGGGGCATCAACATCTCTGGACTTGATCTTAATAGAACCCTCTGGCAAAGTAAAGTCTCTCTGAAGAAACTGGTCGTCGTCTTTTAGTCCTAACTCCTTCCAAGGCATCTTGATGTCTTTGGAGAACTCCTTGGTCTTATCCTTGTCCTTCTCTTTGTTCTTCTCCTTGGTTTTGCCTTTATCCTTTTCCCTATTTTTGTCTTTTTGCTTGTCCTTGTCCTTCTTTTTCATTTTGGTTTTAAGCTCCTTCTTCAGCTTCTTCTTGACATCTCCCGATGATGCCATCTTGTTTTTTTCCTCAAACACCTTAATCAAAGGTTCTGGCGTCGGTGGTGAGGCTGACCCTGACGACACGTACACTCCTTGACTCGGTGGGGCTGCAGACGGACCCCCCTGGTTGACCTTTCTGATCACCTCGTTGATGGAATCATCCAATGTCCAGTTCCCTTGGGCTGCATGTGCCTGCGGATGAAGAGGAGTCGACGTGTCTTTTATAGAGTTGCCCAATCCAATGACTTTAGGTGTTGAGGGCTCCATAATGGTCAGTCGTCTTGGACTGGAGAACCCATTACTGTCTGAATCAGAGCCTGAAGAGAAAGCAAAAGGGTCTGGCTCTCGCTCCGCACACGCTCTGGCAATAACGGCATCAATGGAGTCATCAATGGCTGTATTGTCAGGCTCTAGTTTCTTAAACGTGCCCTCAGCGACCTCTCTATCAACTATATTTTGACGCATGTGTATGTTTTCTTTGCCCATCCTCTCGTTGAGTGCTGACATGGGGAGCTTATGCAACACCTCTGTCTTACTTGGTGGTTGAGCAATTTTAATAGAAGCCATCTTTGGGCTCTTGGGGCTTTTAGGACTCTTTGTTCTGCCTGGAGATTTCTTCCTTTCCTTAGATGGCTTTGGGGATTGGATGGGACTGCTGCCAACCGGAACAGAAATGACCCCTTTAGGGGACTTAGTCCGTTGCCTGCCAGGAGAAGAGTCCTTGGGCTTTCTACCTGGAGTAGTGAGGCCCTTTTGATCTGAATGTTTAGGTACTACAGGCTGAGGTCTGAACGGAGGCAGGGCTCCAGAGGGAGATTCAGGTGACAAGGAATCCAAGCTATTGTGAGAAGGAAGAATGCCTGGGGGAACCCGTTGTGAGTTGAGAGAGGTAAGAGGCTCCCGCGGCTCAACACCCCACTCTGGGCTCATGCCAGGGTACATACGCGGCCTCTTTGAAGTAGGCATCATACCAATGGCCGCATCAGGACTGTCTAGGTGCCTCTTCAGAGGGTTGTTCTCATCATTCACCGTCTCATCCTCTTCAATCTCCTCTTCATCTTCTTCTAGCGCCACCTGCATAGCTTCAGCTGAGGTGCCCATGTCAGCAAGGACCTCCTCCTCTTCTTCTTCTGGAAAGACACAACAAACAAGGTGAACAGGACACAGGTTCTAGGAGCTCACAAACTTATTTTCTTAAAATGTCACAGTCTGAATGTTTGTCCATTTCGTTTCAGTTCATCTTGATCATTAAACACTGCCAAATTGAACAAAAAAAACCCTCATATAGTATAAACTACTTTTTTTTTTTTACAACCTACTTGCCTCCCAGCAAGTTAGTATTTGTTAAAACATTCGTAAAATTCGTTTAAAAGAACTCGTGTTGGTAAAATTATTTAAAGAAAAACATTATTATAAAATTATAACATTTTATTTATTTACATTATAAAAACAGCAGAGTGCTTTCTGACTACCGTCAGCCCAGTTTTCATTTGGATGATTTTATCAACCTATTATATGCAGTCCATAAATACAGTATACCACAATTAAGACGACTGACTACTGACCTTCTTGTAAGGAGACCAGGGGTGGTAAGTGATCCGGAATGTAGTCCTTCCTTTCCACTGCATCTCTGGCTCCAGGCTGGGGGAACTGCAGGACATTATTTTTGCTCACAGGAAAGAAAGGTGTTTGTTGAGCGAAGGCCACCGGCTCCAGGTTGTGGACATAGTCCTCCAGTTCACTTAAACTCACGCCCAGCAGCCTAAACGCCTGGCTGATATCATCCATGACAGGATCTGTTCTTCCATCTAGAATTTGAACAGCATAAATTATTATTCATATTGAGACTAAAGATGCTGAGGGTACTAGGTTAATAAGTGTTTTTCTGATATGCCTAATTTGTCACAGTGTACATCATAAAATAAAAGAGATTACATTACATTACAAAGGACAATGTATACATTACTATATACAGTATAAGGAAATGATCGCCAAAAGCCCTTACACAAATGCAGCTGTTAGATATTTTCTAGAATTCCAACCTTATTATTTTCCCATTTGCATTTTTTCTATAGCTTGATTTCAGTTTTTAAGTGATCATTTCAATCCGATACTTTCTGAAATCACACAAACACATTTTTATTAACCTCAAATGTCATATTAGTAAGGCAATTAAAGCGTTGGAAATATACAGACCTGTCATTTATAGCAACAAAAGTTTGATGTTTAACCTCAGGACTTGTAAGAGACCAATCACCTCACATATACAATTTTTGAATGATTATTCATCTAAATATACATCAAGAGTGTGGCTGTTTTTGGGAAAACTGACTACATGCTTAGTCATCATGTTTTGGAATAGGCCACTGTAGTAGAGCTAATGAGACAACATGTGAGACGTACTGTATATATGTAAGACGTGCTATATGCCACGGGATGTACATTAAGCAGAGGTATGTTTAAAAAATGCACTTTTACTCGGGGTAATAAAATGTTACAGCATGCACTGCAAAAACTGTAGCAAAAATAAAACAAAATGGTTTAAGTATGAGGCTCTGAAACTAGACCATTAGCGCTAGGTTAAAATAACCTGGGACAAAAGGTTTGAAATTCTCAAATTCTCAAAGTTCTTGTGTAAGACCTCGATGAGAGGGAGGGAGAGGGGATGTAGTTCTAAGCACAACATTAAACTGAGCCACGAAATGTCGCTACATCGCACACAGCGTACATTTAGAGCAAGTAGCAACGTTCAACAGGTTTTAACTCCCAATGACTCAGACGTTACAAGACTACGATGTGGGTTGCTAAACGTAAGCATATGGCATTTAGTGCTATTTAAGTGCGTTAACTTCAGTTGAGCAAGACAAAAATCACGGTGACAGAAAAAAACAGCACAGTAATGCTACTGTACTTTTTGACACATCAACCTTTGCTAGGGGGCGCCAGCTGCAGAAACAATCAACAACAACGTGATACACTACTTTATGGGTTGTGGTTTACAAAAGTAATAAAAGGAGCAATGCGGTGCACTTACAGAGCTCAGAGTATCGGTGGCAGGCCCTGGCCATCTGCTGAATATACCGCTGAAGGACATCGGAAAGCAGGTCGCATGCAGTGAGCTGAACAGCATCCCAGCCCAGAGCCTGGCAGATCTGCGCCACCGACACACGCAGCAGCGAGCGGGCATAGCTCTCGCACATCTCGATGACTTTGTATCGGTATTAAACCCGCTTAATTCCGTTCCCCTATCATCTTCTCGGGTAACATATTTCACGGAACCCACCAAGGGTCAGTAAAAAAGCCGCTAACGCGGTAAATATCAAGTATTTACTTCAGTAAATATATTGCCGCTTTTGCCAGAGCCGCCATCTTGTTTCAATCGATTAACCCGTCCCAGAAATCCAGTTTGTACCTGCGCAGTAGGTCCGCGTCTGACAGAGCACTGCAGCTATATTCAAGAGCGTCATCACTGCCAAATGCGGCGCATAAAATCTTTAGCATAAAATCTTTATCATTTTATCATTAAAATTCTGAAATTGACCACAAAGTCATACACTTTCTCTTTCAAAGAATTATGTCCTTCACATTTTAATTCTAAATCTTCTAAAATAAAGTCAAAATGATTATTTTTCAGATTTTGTGTGATTAAAGTCGGGCTTTCATCTATAAGAGACAAAATATAAACGTAGAGTTTCTATACTGTTAAAAATAGTCATTATTTTGAAAAGAATGACCCAATAGAGAAAAATATAGTAACATTTCTTTATGGTAAAATTTATTTAAATTCTGACAGGCATTTGTAATCTATAATTACAAGTAATTTAATGATTAAAATCAGTTTTACACATTACTGTCTTTCATCCTGGAATTTGGAATGATTTTCAGAATGCATGGATGCAAATCTGACTTTTCAGAATACTCAAATCAAAATTACTTATTATTAGATTAAAATTAAAGTTCTGGACTTTTTTGCCCCATGTTTTTCTTCTCCCCAGATTGAACACATTTTTCGTTACTTCTCAAATTTCTGAAAACTGAACATCACATGTATATACATACATATAGACATACAAACATTTCCTTCATCTGCATATTTCTGTAATAAAAATGTCTTATTGACCTTTTTATTTGTTCTGAGGTAGGCATGGAAATAAAAATCAAGGTCAAGCTGTATTTGATTTGTAATTTGACAGCATCCAGGCCTACACAAAACAAGTTAGGATACAGCATTTGGGGAAAATGTCTGTTGCCACAATCCTGACAAAGATGCAAGACACTTTTATTTCTAGGAGGCCCTCTCCTGGATAAACATAGCAATTGAAACGTTTTCAATTGTACTGTATATCTGCAAAGGACAGTTCAGGACCAAAAATACTTTATATCTACGCATATTATCACAGTGACTTCCTACAGATCAAGGGATTTTAACAGAACCTTTCAGATTGTCTAAGCTTTATTTAGAAAATGTACCATTTATTTATACACAAAATAACACAAAAAACGAATAAAGTAAACACGAAACACTACTAAGGTCAAGAGAATGGTCGTTGTGTTAAGCCCTGACACAAACCAATGATATCTGTTAACAGGGCTGTGCTTCAAAACTTTAAATCAAAGATATTTATGTGGTGTGAAACAAAACTGACAGAGGTAGAAAAACATTTGATCAGGGAAGAAAGGAGGAGAAGAAGCATATAACCCAAAGAACCCTTTCCCCAAAGTGAAGCATAGAGATGGGAGGAAAAGAATAAAATTTGGGGGTAATCAATTTTTTATAATTCTGAACATTCGCAATAAAGTTGCTGTAAAGTCAAAAGCAAAGGAGTTACATAAGGAGGTAATCATCAGCATTATGTGCATGCAATATGTTATTTTTAGCACCAGACTAAAGCTATTCGTTTTTTTAGGTGAACAGATATACATTCATTTTACAGATTTTCTTTTGTGCACTGTAAAATTTAAGGAAGTAAACTGAAATTGAACTCTTGATGATTGAATAAATAGCGGTCTGTTTTTATATCGATACTTAAGGAGGTAAGTTAACATGTTGCAAAAACTGTACTTGCTTGTCGTAGTGTAAACATATCATACAAAGAAAGAGAACAAAAACTCTTCAACTGATTGCACAACACTTATTATTGCATCATAGGGTTCAAAGAGATAGAGTCTCTCTCTCACACACACACAGACACATATTGCTACACAGCTATACTGTGTATATAGGTATGTACATGTATCTACTGTATATATAAACAAAACAAGTTACCAAATACAACTGAAAAAACTAATTGTACAAACAATTTGTAGCACGTGTTCCATTTTGCAAGCAATGCTTTTATTAGGTCCTCTGTTATCTTTTCGATTTTTCCAGGTCAGAATAAAATGTTTCACTTGAAAAGTTTGTCAGGAAATAATCGACAGTCAACGTAAAAATTCCATTTCTCCCAAACGCTCCGTCTGTGGTTGCATCTGAAAGAACAAAAATGTGTTATTTTACAAATTCAGATTAGCCTTGACACAACGTAAAAAAACTATCACGGTATTCCGTTCCAAAAAAACAGGAGATCAAATGAACCGTGTAATTTTTCTTCTCGAAGTAGGGCACGGCTCTTCCATTTGATAAGATATGCACAAATGCTATAAACATGAGGTTAAAGAGTATTTTGGTGCTCACCACTTATAAAAACAGGGTAGCGCGCAGAAATGTTATGGACCTGTAAGCGGACCAAACATGTGAGGTAGTCGGACTGATCTCTTGATGTGACGTCACAATCATGGTATGGTAAAACCTCCAGGATCCCCTCGTCTTCGCAAACGTTTAAAAAGCTCTTCTTCTGCTTTGCCTCTGCACTCATCCTGCAGTATGAAGAATATCGTGATGTTTAGAATATATATAACAGTCAACGTTGCTTTTTTTTGTGTTTAAAAATCCTTCAATGCAGAATCTTAGAACAGTTGCTTGTCCTTACCTGGCATTTTCTTTCAGCCGTCGACTGTCTCTGTAATGATATATCCATTTCCACTTCCCTGTTTTGCGTAGATCATGTAGGATTTCTGAGCACTTTTTCATGTTGCCTATAGAAACATGCATAGATAAGTTCAACAAGAAGCACGGAAAGAAAAACCCCAAGATGCTCAGAACGTTACTGTACAGTGGGAGGTGCACATACACAGAGTGAGGTTCTCCAGCGCTGCTCGATCGAACATTACAAAACCACCACGAGTAAAGAGTTCCTGATGGGTGAGATTGACAACATCGTCTGGTTCATCGATTCCGGCGAACTGCACACATGATGTCTTCTTCAACTCAAGTAAATGAGGAACCTTAGAAGGAATAGGGCAGAGTTGTGTTGGTAATCAACATCTAACACATGGAGGACTGTTCTTGTATGGACGAACTTTTACCTTGGAAATGTGATCTGCAATGTCTTCATTTCTGAGGATGATGAGTAAGGGGGAGGAACTATTCTGGTGAAGGAAGAACTCAGATGGCTGTACAGCTGTATGACCCACCGCCTCGAGTTGTGTCTTTAGGAAATAATAAGGCAAGAAAAATAACTCATCTTCACAAGCACTGACATTGCTGACTTAAACTCTCTTGTTTGCAAATACCATTCACCCCTGACAGTTTCAGATCTGATTACAGTAGGAACATGCCGGATCTCACCTTTGTTTCCTCAAAGATGTCATCATCAGACGTCACCAGTATGTAGAACCTGTACTTGGTTTTACAGGATTTCCTCACAATCGAGTTCAAACGAGTCTGAAACATTTTCTCCATGTCTTGTTTTATTTGATCGCAGACATCCACGGCACCACTTGCTTCCGTCCTATCGGGACTGCTGCCCAAGTGCTCGGGCGTAGCCTGGGATTTTGTGGGATGACACGCTTCATCCATCCTATCTTTGTACAACTTGGCATATTTGGCAGTCACATCAGACACTATATCGCACGCGTTGGAACTTTCTTGTCCACAGGATGTCTTTTGGGAACAAGCATTTTCTCTCCTGGTAGAAGCCAAGCCGTCCTCCCTATCTGACGTGTCCACCTTGATTTTTGTTCCAGCGAGCGACGGTGCATCCAAGGGTTCCAGTGAATCATCCCGCTCTTCTAGACTGGAGAAGTTGACAGTCATCGGACCAGTACAAGACAAACCCATGGTCTGCGTTCCCTCGTGGCTGGAGGCTCCTCTTGTGAACCTTTTAAAAAGCTGCTTCATTTCTTCCGAGAAGATGAGGGACTCCTGCTCCATTGAGGCCTGTGTGGGGTTACTTGGTATACATCTCTGAGAAACATGCTCTAGAAAAGAACAGGGTATCCTCCTCCCAGTATTAAACACGGTACAAACAAGTGAAGTTTGAGGTTCCTCAGTGAGGGCTTCGGCCAATATGATGTCGTCAATGTTTTCAAATGCAATTAATGCTTCGGAGCAATTTCTCTGATTGCTTTCTGCATTTTCTTTAGGTGTCTTTCCAGGTGTGTTCCTTTCTGGACACTGATACAAATGATCCTTAAGTGCAAACCTAGTGTCATCCAAGTGAGAATTACAGTCATTAATATTCAGCAGCTGATTAACATAAGACTCTAGCTCATCATGACCACTAGCTCCAATTTGTCCTAAACCACGTTCCGTCTCTCCTGAAGACATGGTAGTGGCTCTAGGGCAGGAGAGATTTGTGGCTTTATTATTAGAAAACTGTTGAATCTCTCCATCATCGGGACTTGATGACGGCTCAACACTGTGAGGAGCAGGTTCTTCATCAATCCTAGATCCGTCTGTTTGCAGTGATACGTCGGATTTGCCAGTGTGAAACTTGGCTTCCTCTAATTTACCTCTGAAAGGCAAAGTGTGAAAGTGATCGTCTGGTACTTTGTGCTTTTTGTGTGAGGCAGAGGCCGGCGCCGCAGCTTTAAAAGACTTCAATTTTTGGTTTTGATCTGGTACTTTGTGTGAGGCAGAGGCCGGCGCCACACCTTTAAAAGACTTCAATTTTTGGTTTTGTATGCTCTTCTGTTTAATACCTGTTGGTTTGAACTTGAGGTAAGGATTTTGATCCAGACAGCCTTTGCTATCAGCTGTTTTAGTCTGTTGGGAGCTGTTGATATAATTTGACTTCGGCAAGAACTTCTCTAAACATTGTAAAACTCGTAGAGTTCTTTCTTTAAGATCAAGGGCAGACCTGTCGTTGAGATGTTCTCCTGACTTCGGACAAAGCTTAGGCTTATCCGGCTCTGAATCCTTTGTAGCTGTCAAGCTAGAGCCAAGATGCGTGGGAGGTTTTCCTACGTTTGTTGTGGTACAGTTGTCAGACACCGAAACAGGTACGGACTCAGATGGCTCATCCAACGTTGGAGTAGGGCATCTATCATCTAACTCATTTCCAAAGATGGCTAGTGGGCTAACTTCTTCTAATTTGGTGAATGGTATTTGACCTCCACAATGTTCTCCCCTTATGCCACGTATCTCACGTGCACCTTGGATTTTTTCTTGAAGGCATGCGACGGGTGTTCCAGGAAATGGAATTGCGTCCTCATCGGGACAAGGACCTTTTCTTAATGCTTCATTCGTTTCGTTCACATTTGAAACCATCTCTGGGACATCTTGCACCAATGGGTCTACACACGTATTTGCAGCTCGTGGTGAATCACACTGAACGTGGGTAGTAGTTTCCTGTTCCGATCTGTCATCTATCTTAGTAGTAGTAGAGACACTAGTCCCTTCTAATGGATTGTGAGCTTCGGCTTCCGGGCGTAACTCTTTAGAAATGGCACATTCATCTATCGCTGTAGTATCTCCCAAGTTTGAATCTTTATTATCTCTCAAAGGTGAATTCTTGTACGCACCCTTTTTGGGAATCACAACTCCAGAGGACTCTTCATTGACTGCTTCAGGAAGGGGTTCATTATTCTCCATTTCCTTCACTGAAATTAAACCCTGGTTTTCATCACGCTTGTCCTCTTTCAGGTCTCCACCCTCTCCCTGTTCAGGTGCATATTCTGAACAAACACCCTTATCCTCACTGATTTTCTCTGGTGGGACCAAAGCAGCTTCCTGTTGCTCACTCTTTTCATTTTCAACATCTTTGCAGTTATCATCCCCGTGAGTAAAACAATCATATGACATAATCTCTTCCGGAGAAGGTTCTGAGATCGTTTTTTGAAGTGCAAAATTCTTCTCATCTTTCTGTTGAATTTCATCCGTCAGTCCAACCGTAGGGTCCGTTTCTACAGCGACTACGTTGAACTCGATGTCTTTCGGGAAAGCAGATGATCGCTTTTGAGGTTCCCGGACCAAGCTCATAGTTGGGGAATTTCCAACGTCACATGTCTCTTTGTTACATTCACCTTCTACGTGGCCTGTTCCTGAGGGAATGGGAAACTTTTCTGTCGGAACAAAGGATCCTTCAAGGGACGACAAACCACTGAGCTCCAAAGACGCAGGATTTTGTGAAGGCGTGGAGGTTTCTGTTTCTGTTTCCTCGCAGCAGCTTTTGATATTATTCATCTCATTTATGTTGTCTGTGGAGTTTGCCTTTGATGGATATTAAGAAAAGTGTTAATACAGCATAATTACTATACACAATTAAGATCACAGTATTCATCTGGAAAAATGTTTACTGTTCTCATCGCATAAACTTCCCGAGCTGTTGGTTGTCTCTGCAAATACACTAATTGGCCTTTAAAATTATTTTCAATACTATTCCTGTTTTACAATAAAAGTAACAAACAAATAGTCTTTGAACAATTTCGTATTCACGGGATTTCTTCAGTTTACTAGCCTCTACTAACCCTAGTGGTGAATGCGTGCAGTTGTTCACTTACATTTGTTTCGGCAGATGCAGTGAGGTTTTCTTCCTCTATCACAGGATCTGGAGTTTTCATAAATCTGCTGCAGTCCTTCTGCGATAGGTCCAGGACCTCAGACCTCTGGTCCAAGCCTGACTGATCTTTTGTGTCAGGGTACGATGCTTTTGAAATCAGGTTCTTTCCTGTCTCTGACCCCAGGTCCGGTGACTTTAGTGAAGCATCAAACGCATTGGTCTGAAGTTCAGACTTATCTGGTCCTGGAAGAATTTCATTGGACATTTCCAAAGCCCCCTCTCCTGGGGTTTGGTTTGCGATGTCACAGTCCATATGAAAGATTCTGGGCATTGAGCGACTGTAAAACAGACCAATCCACATGTTGACAATGAGTCTTACATCCTTGACGGCATCCTTGAAGGAGAAGTGGCAGGGGCTATAGAAGATACGAGGCAAACAAAAAGAATACAATTAAAAATGTCATTGATGATGAACAATCCAAAATCTTTACACAAAACATGGCGCTATGTTCACATACGGTTATTTAGTGAATACAACTCAGTCAAGACAATACACATACCCATGTAAACCTCTCATGATAGATTTACTCTTAGCGTCACTGGACAGCTGCCAGTCTCCCTTGAAGTTGTAATAGTTTTTCCACTCTCTTGTCACTTGAACAGTTTCACCCTTTTTGGCAAAACTGCGAAAGATCCTGAACTTGGGTTTTTCGGGGGAATTATAACAGTAGTCGTGTTGATGCCTATCTTCTTGACCGACAGAGGAGTTTAGTTTCTCATGTTTGTTGCTATGCAACTGCTGATGACGGTGCATCAGACTGGTTGATCCAGATAAAGGGGAAACCTGGAAAGGCGACTCAGTTAGCAGAGCGGAACACTGCGGTGATGAGTAATTGTGTTCTCTCGCTAGTATAGCGACGCATTCCGTATTTTCCAACACATGGCTTGAAGAGTCAGGAATCGGAATAGCTTTCGCAGGTACTCTGAGCAGAGCATGAAGAACCGAACTGTGTTGATCCATGCTAACATCTTTTGAATGATGGTAGCTTTTAACAGATTTCGCTCCAGGTCTTGGTGACGGGTAAATCGGGTCACTGCCGGCACTGAGTGCTAAGTCAGCAAGTAGGTTTAAGGCATGAGCGGGTGAGCGAGCTTTGTTGTTCTCTCCATCAACAGTCTTCACAACAGACGTATCTCCAACACTGTCCTCCTGGCTACAGTTTTTGCTTTGAAATCCTGCTGGAGTTTTAACATGCAACCACCCTGTGAAGACACAACAGAGAAGAGGAGACGGTATGTATCACTGTCAAGACTATTAAACAATTAAAACTATTCTGATACTTACAGTAAAAGACATTTAAAGTTTGAAGACAATAGAATGCAATAAAAGGGAGAAGCCAAGTTAAAACTGTTGTATTTCTTGGACAACACAGTAGGAAGAATGTTAGAAAAGAAGGTATTAATACTAATTAATTGGGCTGTCGAAATTAATGTGCAAACCGCGTTAATTAATTTGTTAAATTTATCAGAAGTTTCCATATGTTGTTCTAGCAATATATAGACGACATTTTCTAAGGACGGTTTTGTCATGATTATTCATGATCAAATTTAGGATATTAAAATTTGATTACATTTTAATTGATTGAGAGCTCTTCTGCAGCAGATTGCATAGTCCAAAATCAATGAGACGCTACCGTTATAAAACAGAACTTACATGTCTTTTTAAGACATTCTGCTGAGAGTCTTCGAAGCTTTCTCCGTGTTTTTATCTTAGTTCGTTTGTGTAGATCCCGCTGTGGTTTCAGTAGAATTTCCAGATGTTTGTTTGCAATGGTTTTCGCTTTAAGTCCTGGGGAACCTCTACTTTGTTGACAATCTTGACCCTCAAGCATCTGTCCATTGTCAGGCTTCTCTGTAGGTGTCAGGCCAAGGGCATGAGCAAAAAGAGGGTCAACTGAATGAATAACTCTGTCCTGTTCCATTGTAGAGTTATTACCCCCTGGAGTCTCCGTTTTGCCGTCCGCTCTACTTTTCTTCAGACAGGGCTGAGTGTTGTTTTCAGTGTCGGCTGATGCTTTTGCTTTCGCATTGTTTCTTCTCCTTCCCTCTGACAGAACTGCCTTTAGTTTATCTAATAATATGTTGCCATTAATGGCAACTCTCCTTTTGGACAAAACACCAGTGTCTTTTTCTTTGACCTCATCCTTGACAAGTTTTGTCGAAGACTCTTCATGTTCTGAATTGAAAATCGATGACCCAATGTCTGGTTGTGTCACCACTTTATTCTCCTTGTTTAAAGGACCAGCTCCATCTGCTGGAGGACAAACTTCATTTTTAGATGATGCAGACTCCGTTCCATTAGCTGTTGCAACAGCGGAAGATTCTTGCTGTAATCTGACAACGCCAAGAGTTGCGGTTTCAACCACGGTTTCCTCAGGGATACATTTACTTTCAGGCTGATATTTTAAACACAATATCTGATCAGCAACATCTACTGCTGAGCCATGTGGAACCAAGATTCGTCCACATTCACTTACTATAGGCTTCAAATCCCCGCACTCACTTCTCTTTCTAAGAAACAGTGTTTCATGTCCCAAGTTGTGTATTCCAGAATCTGTCTGTTTATTCCCTGCCGCTGTCACATCAACAGATGCAGACATTTTCTTTCTCTTCGATGCCAGCTTTTCAAACATGGATTTACGCTTTCTAAATTTCCTCCAAGTTGTGCTTGAAGGACTGTTTGGCTTCAAGTGTCCTGGTGATTTTTCTGCCTGCTCACCGTTACAACTCACGTAGACTTTATCTTTACTAGTATCCGTTGCGTTTTTCCTTTCATTAGAATGCCCCCCACATAGTTCACTTAGTTTTGCATCCGTGACATTGTTGACATCAGGGGTATCTGTACCGTTCCTCTCAACAGTCTGCAGATGATTCACTTCTGCTGTTTGTAGTTTAGTCTGTGGAAATTCTGAAGTCGGAAAGTCATCATCTTTTGGTACCGTTATAGAGTTCGAACTCCCGTCTGGGACAGTTTCCTCGGCTGAAGTGATCCTGACAATAAGCTCTGCTGAAAGATCATCTGATGCAGTGGGAATCAGAGGAATTTCTGCCCCCGTGTCATCAGTCTGCTCAGAGTTTGTATATAAGTTTGTACAGTCTGAGTCGACAAGCAGCGGTAATAATTGTTCATGCACACCAGCGTTGGTCGTCACACTGTCTACAGATGGCAGAACAGTGACAGACTCTTTTGCAGTTGTCAACTGTTCTCCTCGACTGTCCGATGCCTCCTCAAGAGATGATGAAACGTTAACATCAACAAGGTCTTCCTCTTGCACGTCTTGCTCATCTGCCAGGATTTCGGAAGCCTTGGAGAGGGGCAGTTCAAATGAGACTGGTTTGCTCAAGTAAGACTTCAAGCTTTGCCATGCCTTGTTAGTCCACTCGGGTGATGAGCACGGGAGTTTGTGATTAGGCAACTCATTGTACCGGCCAGGATAGACGCCATCTTCTCTTGAAGAACTCGACTGCGTCCCTGCACGCGTTTGCAGAGCATAATCTTGCATATGCTTCATCAAGACTTCATTCAGCTCTTCACTTGAGTCCATGTTTGTTTTCTCTACTTCACCCTCCGCGTAATGTAGCATTGGCAGAGCCTGAAGGATTTCGGAGGAGACGGCTGCCTTTCTGGGTCCAGATTTTGTACCTAGGTTGAACAGAGATTATATTAGTAAAAATGAATCTTTTACTTCTAATGAACCAAATGCAATTACCACCAAGTAAGCAAGTGATGGGTTTTTAAGAGATTTGACAAACTTGACAACCATGATTACCTGTGTCTATAGTCCTTGAGTCCGGGAACACAAACATGGCTTGTAAGAACTCACTCGCATCTGAGCCTGTGTCTGGCATTTAATAGACAAGACATACAGCTGAGGTTACTATAACCCTTCATCAATTTTATACAAACCACAATTACTCGTCATATCATATCTTACCCTCATATGTGTGGAAATTTGAAGAGTGCAACAGGATAAGAAATCCACCATCGATTAGCGGAACAGGAAGAGCCTGCACAAAAGTGTGTTTGCAAAATTGTTGGTAATCCATCAAGGAAAAATGTCTAATTCGAGACCTTTACACCTATACGGTTACATGTCTTTTAGTTTTAGCCCTTGAAATAAATAAAAAAAAAACACACAATTGACTCTTGGAGCAGAAGGGTATACAGAGAGGTTTCTCTAAATAAATTATTATTTAGATAATTAATAACAATACTGTTAAGTAAATCAATTGAAACTCACGAGATGTATTTTCTTGAGTTCTTGTAAAAATCGGGAGAATGATTCAGCTTTTTCTGCCTCAAGAAGAACCAGCTCATACACACTTAGATAAAGGCCGCCCAGGCAGACTGTAGGACAGTAACAAAATATCACGTTACTGATTATACAATAGCTCGAGTATTTTATCAAACACCATCTCTTTGAAATGTCCCTTTTTTTTTTTTAAATATGAAAACCTCACCTTCACTAGAAAAACCGGTTAAAAAGGCAGCCTTTGGCAACAATGGTATGAGATCCAATATGGAAATGGCCTTGTCGAGTTTGATGACTGGCGGCCTTAAAAACAAATACAGAAAGTCCCGGAACTGATGGTGATGGTAATGTAGAAGAAAACATAACATTCAGTTAAATATGCACAGTTTACTCACAGTTTTGTGGGAATCAAGGCTCCTCCTACAGATTTAAGGCCAACAGCATAGACCTGGGGGCCAATTTGAAGCTGACCCGTCCAAGACTGATAACAAAAACCTGGTAAAGAAACAAAACAAAGAAACAAAGTTCTGCATCAGTAACTGAGAGAAAGTGAAATATTGTTATTGAAGCACGGCGCAATTTACACAAGTGTTCATTCAAAAGACTTAAAATGTTGATTGTAATAGCTATTCACTTACCTGATTTATTCCCGCAACTAAGAAAAAGAGAGGAAAGAATGATCATACATTGGTATCACAAGTAGTAAAGCAATTACGCAAGGGAAAAACAATAATCACAGAACATGGGGTCTATCAGGTTACCGTACCCCTCATTTGGTGGTGCTTCTTGTGTGTCTTTTGAGTCCATGTATGAAAATGAGACAAACGCAAATGGACAGACAGCACTGGGGGACTGAGCCGTTTCCAAGCTTCCATCACCTACGAGCTCATAGATGTAATACTGCAAAAGACAATATTACTTACAATATTATGTGGATGTTTCTGCTGTTCGTATATGTTCAGATTAATTATTTCCAATAAGCGTTTCCCACTTTATACTACACAAATTACTGTTCGTGAAATTTAACAACTAGAGGCATTTTTTGCTGATGAAGACCATATGCAGTTTTTCATATTGTATGTACTATTCATATGTACTGACAAACGTTGTCTATTTTCAGTTTAACAACACATACAATTATTATTTGGCACTAATGTGACACAACAGCATTTTTGTGTCACGGCTGCACGTGTATCGTCTTACCTGAGTGCTAGTGTCAAAAGCAAGAGAAGGTCTTGTCTTGGCAGAAACTGAAACTAACTCTTTAGACACATGGCAATCGAATCCCACAGTAGGTTTTGTAAGATTCTGGGTATAGTTTTGAGAAACCTTTTTAAGTCTCCCCTGGAAGAAAAAAAAAAATAAAAAATGATTAATGTATATAAAAACGTGTATTATTAAAACTTAAATTATGTACTACCTTTGTCAACCTGATGATGGCAATGTATCCAGATTTTCTAAGATACCAATGATCCGGGTCCAAGCAGTCAGAGAACATTGATAAGTAAACACCTTAGGAGCAACAGAACAATTGACACAAGTGAACACGAAATCCTCAGCTGAGTCTTTCCTATACACTGAAAAAACTGCAACAAGGCCACACCTTCACAAAGCAATGTGTCATTGTTAAGGTCACACCAGTGAGTTATGCGCTGTGAACAACGTTTTCCTGGTTAAGACTTAACTTCTATAAGGATTAAATGTTATGGGTTATTTAATGGAGACAGCAATTGGTGTTTAAAGTGAATTTAAATTCAACTCCCTCCCTTGTTTGCCCTTAATCTAACTTTACTATACATTTTTCTGTGCATATTTCCTAAATCCACACATTAAATAATTTGTTTCAATATTTGTAATACAACAGATGAAACCAGGGCTTAAATGTAAATAAAAATAACACACAAAAAAAGATTAAAATACCCAACAACAACATTAACAATAAAATTGTTTGTGACCTGTTTGGCAGGTTGATGGAATTTTACACATCTTTGTCTGAGTGAGGCAATTGAGGTCAGACCATTTCAAAAGTATTATCATACTATTATTATCTACCATGACCGTCTAATGTGGAGTAAGTTTGTGAGAACTTAGTCCAAAAGTTTTCAGACTGTTCATAAAAACATCAAATATCTCTTTGCAACACTTTATCTTATAATATACAGCAGGTTTTACCCTGACTTTCAACAGTAGAAATGTGGTTTCTGTTTGATAAAAAGCATCTTCACTTTCACTTTTATGCATTTAGAAACCTTTTTACTTGTTTTCACTTTCAAAAGGTGAAAACTTGCAGTAAGGGGGGACACCTCAGCTCCAACTACAGCTGCAGCTGCACTGGACTAAAACAGACTCTGGACCTGGACAAAAACATCAGGTTTATCAAGGTAATTACTACTCTACTACTCTTACGTTAATTTATACTCTAATCCGTTTATGATTTGGAATTATGAATAGTTATATCATATCTAGCGGTCTATCATATTACAAGCGTAAAAATGTAAAAACCAACCCTTTGAAGGATCGCCCAGAGTTGTGCAACTGCTGTTCCCTGTAAGGACTCCAGTTTCTCCCAATGCACGAGCCTTTCAGCATGACAAAACACCAATATAAGGATAACGGAAAAGTTCAGATATGTGACCATGTATGACTCTGATTTTTTTCTACCTTGTTGATGTCGTCAAAACATAAAAACCCATAGGTTTCCTCTAATTCCTCATCTGAATATCCTTGTCGTTTCTTCTTTGCTCGAAAGGCATTATACTGACAAGGAAAGAAAGAGCATTTAAGAGCGGGTCTATGTTGTAGATAAAAAAAAAAAATCAAGGCACAAGAAAAACTCAACAACAAGAATAATTGTCTATTTTCAGAGTGTCAATGTGATATTTTACTCTCGTTTAGGTTTATATTTTTTACATTTACAGTTAATATTAAACATTAAACAAACCTTCTCTTCAAGCACAGCGTTCTTAATCAATACTGCCGACTTGTATCTGAAAGACTGTCGAGACTCGTCGTGTAAGTACGCACTTTGCAGATGAGTCAAAATACTGCTCTCAAACACGTCAGACGAATCTGACACAGGCACCAAAACACCTAAAAAAAGAAAGAAAGAAAAAAAGAAAAAGAAAAATACGAGTGAGCAGTGTTTAACATGGACGACACAGCGCTGTGTGCGCAGTATTTTCACTTTCACACTGACAAAAAGTTTCACTACTCCGTGATTGCTCGCCTGCTCTAAAAACCCGGACGTGGACGGCAATGCCCGTGTCCTTGCCATTACAACTAGCTCATTCAAGACAGATTGTAATTAAGACGTATAATAACGATTTTTCACAAAAGTTAAACATTTAAGAGGACAGAATGTCCCATCACCTTGACGCGGGGCAGCGACATTCCCACTTTCCATTGCTGGCCGCTTATGAAATCCTCTTCGTTCCCATTATCGTCAGAGACAAACACTTGCTTTGGGATAAAATGTCATGAAGAAGTAGCAGAAACTGAGTTTTTAGAGAACTGGTCACTTGAGTTTTCGCTACGGATTCGAAAGTCGCCTGAAACCAGGAAGTAACGAAGTTCGAACGACCGTCAAAACGGAAAATAAAAATAAAATGGCCAAATAAATCCACTTGAATCGTTTTGGATTATTACCCACAGTGATTAAAACACTTCAATCCCAATAACCCTTTTTTACCGACGTGTCAGGAGCGCATGACCAGACCGTTCTGAAAAAGAAACAGAAACCTATTGCGGGAACAGCCTCCATCTTGAAAGTCAACACCAAACTGCTGTGGAACATCAAGCTACGTCGTGGCTGCTCACTGGCAGAGCTTTTTTAACTACACTATCTGTTCCTTCTTTCCACAGAAAATTAATGATTAATGACAATTGAAGACCTATGATTTTCCCCTAAACGCGATAAGTACGTCACGTGTCACCCGGTGAAATACTTAATCCAAGAGAAAGTATGTAGTGACAAGAAGCCAATATAATTTAATTTTCAGCATAATCTGCATTGCGAATTTAAATTTAAAAAAATAAATTAAATCCAAAAGACTGAAGATTGTCGGTGACTAATAGAATGATCGAAGCAGGGGCGGAATGACCTGTTTTACTGCCCTGGACCTACCCTCCTCCACTTTTAAGTTTTTCTTACGTTCTTTGCCCATAACAACCCAAGGTTGTGCAAACGCGCAAAATTGTATCCCTACCAACACGTAATTGTGAGATATATGAAGAAAATGTGCTAGAAATTGTAAACAAATGACATACTGTGTGTATATATATCCTTAATTAACTATTTTAATAATTTCATTCTGTGCATTTATTTGTTTCAAAAGAAATGTTCACACAAAATACAAATAAATAGTCAACAGGTTAATCTATTATAACTATGAAAAGGATGCTGCAACAACAAATCCTGTTTATTCTGCTGGAATGTGACCAGATAGAACAAAGAACAAATAGTGTTTTTTATAATCTTACTTTAATCAGTTTCGTGTCAACGTCTGTGTTATTTACCACAAAAACAAAACAAATAAAGAGCGAAAATTAATGTCCGTTTCCACTTCACGCTGCCGACATGACTCTTCCAAGATGGCGGACCCATTGACGTATTATTGCTGCGCGAAAACGTCTACTTACGTCTGCGTATTGTACTGCCAATTCTTTATACATTAACCTGTACGTTGTCTGGAGAATCTCCAAATGGATTGAATTTTGCTTCTTGGCTCCTGCAAGGACTCAGTGTGTTTTTACAGCGATGTCGTGTTTTTGTCTTTCGTTGCAATCCCGTGTGTTTATTTAAACGCAAACGAAACTGCATAGAAGCTAACCGAGCCCTGACTTGACGACTGAAGGCTAACATGAAATGGAAATCAATCGGGCCAGACCGTCACTGTTTGGAGAAATCGGTAAGTAGCTTAAGCTTGTCTTGACATAGCATTGAAAGAATCAGAAGCTTCTGTAAAATGTTGTCGTCCTGAAAATTCACCATCGTTGTTTATTTTGGTCATTGTCTGCATGTTTACAGTGCAGTTTTCGCGTTTGCATCAAAACAAAAGCTCGTTAGTGGAGAGTGAAAAGTCTTGATCCGCATTCTGACTATCAGTCGTTCTAATGCATATGGCACAAGTATGCCATACAATAGCACGTCTTTTATTCAAGTTTAATATTTCAAATATTTTTAATTATTATTAGCAATTAGTATAACTGTATACTTTATACTTGGTCATTTGGAGTCCAAATATCCAATATTATAATCTACACTGAAAAGCATTGTTAATGCATTTCTTCCCTCTTTAAATGAAATTGTTGTAAATGTCAGTTGCACTTGTCATCATAACATGGAATTGTTTGGGGTTATTAGTTTGTTACTATGACATAAGTGTAGCAACAGGTTTCTGCAGTTATCACGCTTGTTTACATTTGTCATCATAACATAGAATTGTTTTGGGTAATTCGTTTGTTACTATGACATAATGTTTCTGCAGTTATCACGCTTGTTTACACATCTGCCTTACATGCAGGAGGTCCTGGGTTTGAGCCCCAGAGGAGCCACATACTTGGTGCCTCCAGGTGCTGCCTTTTGTAGCAGATCTGCTGTTAACACAAGAATTTAAATTATTATTATTCGACACATTCACATCAGGTCCTAAAGCACCAACAGTGTGTGACAAGTATGTCTTTTATTTTGCAGCCCATGGCCTTGGGTTCTGGACTGACAGGTCAGCGGTGCATGAGGCTGCTGCACAGGGTAGAGTCAAGCAGCTTCAGCAGCTGATTGAGGAAGGTGCAGCCGTTAACACTGTTGCCGTCGACTCCATTACCCCACTACATGAAGCCTGTATACAGGGACAGACCCAATGTGTTCGTCTGCTACTCAATGCTGGCGCACAGGTCAGTGTGTCGCCAGAATACGGCCAATCAAATCAAACCAAGATTTTACACGCACGAATAATGTATGATGGTTTATTTATGCCCTGGTGTCACGACAGGTGGATGCTCGTAACATCGATGGCAGTACTCCACTGTGTGATGCCTGTGCTGCTGGTAGCATTGAATGTGTCAGGCTGTTGCTGGAGCATGGGGCCACGGTCAACCCACCACTCTTTACCTTCTCACCTCTTCACGAGGCATGCATGGGAGGTGCGTCACCTTGTTGAAAACATAATTCATTGATAATACACAAAACAGAAAGAACAATGAAGATGCAATAAAGATGCTTTATCTTTATCTTAAAGAAACTGATAAAGAAAGATATTATGCAGGAGGTCTTGTTGAATAAATAATTCTGAATTCTTGTTACAAAAGAAGTAGAAGTACTTTTTTTTTTTTTGTCAATTGCCGCAGGTAGTTCCGAATGCGTTAGACTCATGATTGACCAAGGAGCTTTCATGGAGGCCCATGACTGCCACTATGGGACACCACTCCATGTAGCCTGTGCCAGACAACACTACGACTGCACCAAAGTTCTCCTCAGCGCAGGTGAGTGTGTGTGTGTTTTCTCTAAAATGTAAAATTTCCGCCTTAAAAAAAAATCTCTCTGAGATCCCATATGTATAAAAACTTCACAGCCACACGCTAATTGTGAGTGACATTTAGTATGCTTGCAATTCTGGTTCTCTTTAACTTAGGGGCAAACGTCAATGCTGCCAAGCTCCACGAGACGGCACTGCACCATGCAGCTAAAGTAAACAACGCCGAACTCGTCGAGCTGCTTGTGGAGTTCGGGGGGAATGTGTACGCCAGAGATAACTTGAACAAAAAGCCCATCCACTACACTCGCCCGGGGTCTCCCTGTTACCTTGTTCTAGAGTTCTATGAAAGTAAGTCTGTTGCCTACAGATTTGCATCAAATACAGTCTGAAAAAAAGTTATTTATTCTAAAAAAAAAAGGTCATTGTTACAGTGATTAGCTAAAGTGATATTTAAAAAAAAAACATTGAATATTAGAGGAATAGCCCAGTTCAACGGGTTGGTAATAAACTGTCCTTTCCTGTTGTTCTTCTCAGATACCCCCCTGAGCCTGCAGCAGATCAGCAGAGTGACTGTGAGGAAGACTCTTGGCACAAGAGCTTGTGATGTCGTCACCAAGCTGGGATTGCCCAATCGTATCATACGCTTCCTGTCCCACATGCCTCCTCCAGTTATTGAACTTTGATTACTGTTGATGACATAGAATTATCCCTGAAGTGTCATGTGTGCAGGCTCCCCACTCTACACACCTTGACGGTTCGTGGAATTCCACAGGTAAATGTCAGAGAGATTATGATACACAGTACGTCTCTTTCAGATTAGAGGCGTGCAGAGATTTTTTCCTATTACCTCGGCAAAACTAGCTCTTTAGAAATATAATTCTTTTTATGTTATTTTACTAATTGGTTTTATTACTTGAGAGGAAACTGGTTCACCTTTTCTCATGAAGATGTGAATTCCCAGTACTCTGAACAGTAAGCAGCTGCCTCTCAACTAAATAGCTAATCTGATGAGAGCCGTGGATGGGGCTAACGTAGGTTGGTATTAATATACAGTAAGGATCTGTCTTGTTTTAGAGGCTGTAGACAAACTTGACCAAGCACAGACACTTTACTGTTTGAATTTGCACTTGTTATTGAATGACTTTTACGACTTTTGGTTAGTTGTAGGGTGGGGGTGAGATTAAATATACAGTCACCTTTGGACCCAATATAATCAGCCACATGGGCTTAAACGAGAAGTATGCAAGATTATTTGTTTACAAATGTAGACGCCCTCTTATTCCTGCAGGCGGTATTGTCAAGTCCCTACTTAAGGAATTCACTGACAAAAACATTGATGCTTTGTCTCAAAAGCATCACATAACATGATGAATTTCTAACTGTCCCCTGGTGCTTTACACCTCCAACAATGGTGTGCCAAAAACTAAAGAAGTATTCCCTTTAATTAAACATAAATCATGAATTTGTGTTTAGTTACATTCATACGTTCAACTCAGAAAAGTCCCGATTTCTTTGGGGAAAAAAGGGGAAGAATGATAAAAAAAAGAGGTTTTGAAACTGAAGAAACTAGTTTTATGTGACTGACTTGATTGTTTATATGTTATGGTTAGGAAATTCATACAAACATTTTCAGAAAACACAGTTGGTGTTTCACTTAAATAAGTAATATATTTGTATCTTACCTAAACGCAGAGATAGGTTTTTCGGTGGTATTTATTTATCTGTATAAATAAAACTGAATTTGATGTACATTTGTAAATAAAATAGATGTTCTTACCTATATTAAATTTATGTACCTGAAAAAGCTGAGCAGATTTTCTCTTTCCCCTTTTTTCTGTATTTGATGTTATTATTCTGAACAGACGTCAGACAATTCAGTTTGTACAAATTGTTTATTTTTTTTTTTTGGATTATTTCCCAGTTAATGTGTCTAGATTCTTAACCTTGACAAAGTTATTGTTCTAATTATTCATTTTAATTTTAATTATTATTGCTTGAGATTTTTCCTCAAGCTGAGGACATTGGTTGATATCTGCGTCTTGGTCCTGCACACTCACAAAGACAACACACGTGCAGCCCACACTGTGAATGCTTTAACTATCAGATCGCAGATACAACGTGCCAACACTGGGATTCATAACATCATAAGAGCTACAAGTGGTTTTCTCAAGGGTTAACAAACACACAAACAAAACATTTTTCTGTGTAAACCTTACTTTCAGCCACACTGGCATGGATCGCTTGTTGTTAACTAATAACACTAATGCAAGACATGACTTCTTTTTTTTTTTTTTTCCTATTTACATTTGGACGGGCTCAATCAGAAATGCAAGTTTTTCAGTGCACGGGTTAAACGATAACAAAACACATAGAAAAGACATTTAACAATGTTGAGTAAATGTGAAATAAAAACACCTTTTGATCCATCAGGTTGAACATCTACACTGCACTCTCCTTCCTCTTCTTCGCCGTGCCTTGTAACGTCTGGTCCAGTTTGCTTTTGGAGAGCGTCTGCGGCCTGAGCTTTGGACCAGAGGCAGGTGGATGGTTCTCGTCCGTCTCCTTGTCGTGGATGACTCCCGAGGCAGCAGCGGAGCGTCGCTTGACCTTGATGGGTTTTTCTTGCTGGACTTTTGTTTCGGCCGCCTGTTTCTGGGCCATGGCACTGCGTATACAGTTAAGCCATTGCTGTTTGTGGTAGACATCGTTGCCTTGCAAGGTGTGGCACTGACCATGGGAAGGATCCAGAGAACTTACACGAAAAATGTTCTTTACTGAAAAAAAATAATCATTTTTTAAAAAATTGATTAGTCACGGGGGAACTGGAACCAATCCGTGCAGCGACCAAGCGAAAATTCTTGAGAAGTTCACCACAGGGCTACATGTAAACTGTTCACACTCACATCAATTAAGAGGCACCAATTTGCCTACTCTGATCTAGTTTTTGGAATGGGAAAGGGTGAAACTGCAAATCTCACAACTGGTCCCCGCCCCAGATTTAACCAGTGATCTTCCTGTTGTCAGATGGACATGTTATAGTTTATAACTGCGTATTCTACTTTTTTTTTTTTTTACAGATCATAAGGTAGAGCCACCCCCTCCGACACTAGGTGGAGGTGAGGTACACTTTCACACACACTGGCAACTGTTCACACTCACACTTGTGGTCAATTAAGAGGGACCAATTTGAGGGAACATGCATTTCCACACAAAAAGCCATCGGTCAACAAAGGGATACAAACAAGCGACCCAACAACTACGCGACTGTGGGGCCAACCTATACATATGTAAAGACAATAGTATTGCTAATTAGATCTGAAACCCATTCAGGCGGAACTGCTAGTCCAACAGGATTCACAAAAAGGCTCTTATTCAAACCTGGGTCGTTGATCACCCCCTCACTCTATCAAGTAGAACTAAAGGACCAACTCCAAGTCATGAAGGCGTAGACGTTTGACATGGAGATGACGTCTACATACCTGCAATTCATTACCTCATCATCACTGTCTTCACACATGAGACAAAGTCATGAAACTGTGGGCTAGAGGGCTGAAGGTAAAGGTTTGAAATCTGTAATTATTATGTTGTAAAAGACTTTTTTTTTTATCTACCACCACATTATGGAAGTGTTTTGCAATATTGTCTCAGATAACGTAATTACCGCGATTCACAGTGAGAACCTATGTCCTGTCCTAAGTCCCAGCAACAGTTACTAGGCTGCAGTCTTAGGGAGCGGCCACAGTGTTTGAAATACTGACAACTCTGGTTTACTGACCCACGCCTTCCCGTGCAGGAGCCAATGTTGCAGCCAAAAGAGGAATTTAGGTGGAGTTGCACCACTCCCTCTCAGATGAGGGCATGTGAATGTGTAATTACGAGTGCAATAGCTGTAAGGTATCTGCCAGAGGTTTACAGACAAATATTTACACACAATAATGGCTGTTAGTCAGCCTATTTATTCAGCTGATATTCGAGGTGTACACAGACATGTGTTAAAAATGAATGCCATGCCATGCGAACAATTTCTACTTTCCTCTTTCAATGAAAAAAAAAAATCTAAAAAAAAAAAAAAGTACAATTTTAATCAGAACTTATCATATATAAATTGGGCCTTGTACAGTGTACAGTACAGCCACACTTACCCTTCTCTGCATTGGTGAAAGCCCCTCGAAAGGAGCCGCCCATGCGGATCTCTCCGTCCTGCAAGTCCTCCAGAGCCAAGTCCCGAACTGGGATGGGCTGTCGGTAGACCTGGAAGCAGCTCCTTTCATTACGTGTCACAGGTCGGCTCAGAACCAGCAGCTCTGAGAAAAGGAACACATACAGCCTCTGCGGACGGACACGCGAAGAAGAACGTGTAGTTAGTGGTAAAACAGGCAGCAGAAAGAGGATGTTCCTTTTAGAATTTTAAAATCGCACCGAGCCGCTCTTGTTCCTCAGCTCTCCATGACACAGCAGGGTTTTACAGTTGTCTATGAGAGGGTCTCGTTGCTTTTCATCCAGGTACTCCAGTTTGTTTATGTAATACTGACACTCAGACTCTCCTTTCCTCACATTTATATCAGACAGAATTCCCTGGATTATGACAACCTAGATTATAAAAGAAAAACACATCAGATGTATGACAGTGAATCAAAGAAGACGCTGATGTTAGGACTATAACGACTATAGCTATAGTGGACTACAACAGTAACACGTACTGAACATGTGTGATGACGTGAATTAAACTGATGACCTACAGCTTTCTCCAGACTGGTGACATCCGGGTGATCAGCGGGAGTGTGTTTCAGGATCTCACGCAGCAGCAGTGGGTATTTCACCAGACGGGAACGTGGAATGTCAAGGAAGCTCCAGAGGTCAAGTTTTCTGCTAAACGGTGACTCCAGACAGCGCTGCAGGAAGTCCTGGACCCGCCGGTCCTGCTTTTTCTGGTCCAACAGGGCTTTAGCTGCGAGCTGGTTACTGCAGTAGTTTTTGTAAGCATTCAGACCAGGCAGCTGAGGGAAAAAAAAAAACTTTTTCTCTAACTTTTTTGTCTTGTAACAAAGGCTTTTCTTTATCTCTAATCTCCTATTTCCACAGGCCTTTCTGTCCAAGGTGATAAACATAATCTCTGAGGCAAGTGTTTACTTTTTCATGTTTTTTTTTTTTTTACCCCCACGTCACATTTTCATGTGACATGCCAAGCAAAACGGAACTGTTATATTAAATATAATATAAATAAATATAAATGTTATATTATTATATAACTGTTATATGTATTGATTTCTCAGGATGTGAGAGATTTCAACTACTCCAGTTTTTGCAGCATGCTCATGTTCACACTAAGCAAGATAAATAGAAAGCTTAAAATAAAGGCCCAAAGAAACATTGGGTTAAACTTGGTTTAAACAGGTTTTATCAATATACAAGTCTTAGGTGGAACCAATGGAAACACAACAATGCTCAATTAGGGAACACCAAGACGTGGACATTCACAACTACTAATGATTTGGTTCTGAAGGCAATAATACAAACTGCTCAATGTGTCATTTAATCTCTCACTGCACACAACAACACTGGGTACTGTGCAGAAAATTCACAGCTCGATCACTCACCCAATTAATAACAATCTGTCCAATTTGAGCAACAGTTCCATCAGGACTCGTTCCCTCCGTCAGTTTCATCAGCAGCTCTGCACATAAAGCAGTGAAAACACAGTCATTTTATTTTTTTTTTAGTCTTTTAGTTTTTTCCTCTTCCTAAAATCCAGGAATTGTCAGTGGAGACCCACCCTCATGTAAAGGGATGTATGCGTCCAGGTCTCCAAATATGTGAGCGAGTTCCTCCTCTGTCATGATGGAGAGCTTTAGCATTGGATCATGATACGCCTGCAGGGTAACACAGAAATTAATGGGACTACAGAAAAAAAAGAATACACCAATTTTAGCAAACATATTTATAATTAAAATTCGTTAAAAAAAAAGAATACACCAAGTTTAGCAAACATATTTATAATTAAAATTTCAAACCTTTCGTGCTAGTTGGAGGTCTTCAATGAGATCCTGTTCTCCCCTGAAAAGCTCATAAATTGCCTGCAAAGTAATACATAATAATGTAGTGTTAGCTTTGTCACTGCTTAATATGTGATTTAAAAAAAAAAAAAGTAAAGTACACAACCTCCTGTCTTTTGATCTCTTTGGTGGAGAAAGTGCTTTTCTGGTGGACATCCAGAGTCTCAGACCACAGCGTGCTGTTTCTCCGTTTGGTTGGAGTGGGACCTGTCAATTTGCTTCCAGTTTTGAGGGACATCGCCGGTGATTTGTTGTCACTGCGCAGTGACATTGACTATGGAGAAAGAAATTAGTGAACTAAAATCAACTGATTTAAGTTTTAAATTTGCACTGCTCCACTCTTTAGATTTTGGCTATTTACCTGAAGCGTCTGACCAAAACGTCTTACTGCCCCATTTTTCGAAGGAGACATCAGGTTGACCAGAGATGAGACTTTGGACAAAGGTCGAACACGTTTGTTACTGGGTTCCTGTGATGGAAGGAAGTAAAATTTGTAATTTTTGATATATATATACATAAACCTTTTAAGCATAGAAAAATGCATCTGACCACTCGGAACCTTTTATGCATAGAAAAATGCATCTGACCACTCGGTTAATACAATTTCTTTAGGAATGGTTTAGAGTAGGATAATAAGAAGAAAACAAGAGTTAAGTTAGGATATTAAAAGAAAGGTAATTATTTTGAGTTTGTGTTTTTTCCAAACTATGTGGCTTGCTCCGACAGAAGTTGTTCCAGTTTGATGGCTGGTCAGTGGATTATGCTGAGATTATAACGGTGAATGTGGAGCTGAATACCCGAGTCATACGCAAGGATTAAAATGTAAGGTGTTCAAGCAGGTTTTGCGAAATCTCATTGGCACCGAAACAGACCTACAGAAACTACACAGGCAGCTCTCACTCTCACCTTCAGGTCGAAACTTGACAGACTGACAGTATCGTCGTCCTTCTCTTTGCGCTTCCTTTTCTGCAAAAATATATCACAAGAAAAACTTTTGCAGGTGCAGTGGCTATACAAACAACATTATTGCTAAATTGACATGGGATAGAACAGAAACATTTCATGTCATCAACGTTGACTTACTAGACTGAAGTCCCATGGAGTCCCAGGTGTTAGAAATGTGAAGGAGCTGCCTCTCTGAAGAGGAGGTCTGGAAGAAATAAGAGAAATATGTTTAACCTCCGCAGTCAACATTATGTAGTGAATGAGATTAGATTGGGACCTTTTCATTATAGAAAAACTATAACTTCATTTTTTACCTATTCTTTCACTTTGTATGAATTCTGTTATGTTTAGTGTGGAGAGACAACACAAGGATAAGAGCCTTACAAAGTGCATAAAGAGTTAAACTTTTCACTGTTGATTCAGCTGCAGCAAAAAAGGCAGTTATGGTGACAAAACAATGAGGTTACGGAGAAAGCTGTGTCCTCCTGTTGGGGACTAGCACACACAGGAGGCTGCAGTCAGGTCTAAGTTCAAATGCACTCAGTGCTACATGTCCTATGTCGTGTGCTCTTGCCTCTAGATACGTCTGGAAATAGACGAATGAGAGAAGGCATTCAGGAGGGAGATGAAAATGAGTCTATGTTTAAGAGCAGAACAAACTCGCAGACACAAACGTGTCACACTGGTTTTATACAGTGTTCATAATGACTGAATTTGTTTTTTAGCAATTAGTGATGTAAATTTCAAACAATGATGAATTTTACAGTAAAACGTCCTGATAAATTGTAACATATTGGGTTTTTTGCCCATGTAATTGAAATAATCCTGATAAATTGTAACAGAGTTTTTTGCCCATGTAATTGAAATACATGTTAGTAGAGTACTACAGTACACAAAACCACATGAAAAGATCACCACTTTCTGGTAAAAAATAAAAAAGATGACAGAATCCGCAATATTATATAGCACCACTTTTTTCCAGACACGTGATGGTCACATTACAATTATTGACATTTAAATCAGGTGAAATGTTAGAAATTTTGGTGTGTTTGGTGTCAGAGATAAATGATGTAGATGCAGGTGTGAAAAAAATTAGAACATGTTTTTCATCTGTGAAAAGGTATACAATAGTGGTAGCCTGAAGGCATGAACATGAACTGAGAAAGCCAAGACATGATTAGAATACTATACAGTTCTAATTGGTTTCCTGTAAAACGTACTTTTCCGTGTGAAGAAGTCTGGTCTTTCTGTTTGTCACTTGACACTTACCAAGTGAAGCAATATTTCAAATATTATTATAAAATATTGTACATTTTTGAAAGTCTGGAATTAAAGGTTGCAGACTTATTGCAATTAATAAAACGGAAATTAAAGGTTAATTTTTTAAAGAAGCCCAAATGAAATAACGAACAATATAAATAGCTATTAAATTAAATTTCTAATATCTAAAAAGACATTCGTGAAAGGAGAAAAGATATTAAAACATATTTCACAAGGTGCACGTGAAGGCACCGCAGGTCAGTTAAAACAACCGTCTTTTGAAATGCTAAATAAACCCTTTAACGTTTTCTACGTCAACTATTGAATTGTGATACATGTATTGTCGTCCATATACATCATCCATCCATCCATACGTACTTTTTGGAGTTACATCTCCGCAGTGTTCTTGGAGAAGCCTCTGCAACGCTGAGGCTACTGCAAATGGACGTCCTCGATGACGTCCGGCGAACCTTCTGCTTTTTATTTTCCACCGCGGCTCCACACTCATTTTCTTCCATTTTTTTTTACAAGAACCCAGTTTAAATGTTCCTTTTGAGCTCGCCGTGCAGTTAATAGCGTGAAAAGACCAACCTCCAGCCGAAAGGAAAAGAAAACGGGCCTCGAATTGTACAAAGACGAAGCAGCAGATTAATGACAACAGAACTCACGCTCATAACAGCGGAAGTTTGAATATGGCGGATTCTTGGAAATGGACCAATCAGGGGATAGATCAAAGCTGCGTGACTGGACCACAGCGAGGTGGGAGGAGCCATTTTGAATAAAGAAAGGACTTGCTTACATGGAGAGAAAAAAAATACAAATCAGGCTTTAAAGCTCTTTCATTTATATTGGCGTCAATAGTTTTTTGGTATTCAAACTAAAGCAAAGATCGACTCAGAAGCACTGTAGATTAAAGCCCCCCGAAACAATGCTGGTGTTGACTAGATTTACAGTTTTATATTAACATGGAGGGTTCTCTTTTTAAGAAATATTTGAGTTTTTTAAACAGAGGTGGCTAAACTTGAGCTATTCCTGGAATACATTTTAATCATCTTGGCTATCTTGGTTTACTTTGTGTTAATTTTTAGCTTTTGAGGCAGTTTTATGTGACTACCTCATTTTTTGTGGTACATCTAATTACAATTTGCCTAATTTTCCTTTTATTTATGTCATCTTAGGTGCATCCACAGTATGCTTTTATTCTATCTCTTGCATCTAGCTCTTTGATATGTTTTTGGCCTAAAATTTAGTTATTGTTAGCTTAAATTTCGATCTACTAGCTGTGAACATTTTTTCCAACAATTAGCTGGTGTTGACTTTTATTGAGTGATACATTAACACCATTGTATTTCTTTCTCACCTAAATATTGCCTTCTTACCTGGTAACAGTTTTCAGCAGCAATTTCTTTCTTGACTGAGAGTTGTTCATAATATTTTCAAAAACATTTATATAAACTTTACAAATGACACCATGATGAAACAAATAAATAACTCACACTTATTACTTATAAAAGTTTTTAACCATAGTTTATTGTGGATGCTTTTTTTCACACATTTATTTTAAAAACGTTTAAATCAACTATGGAAAACAATGTTCAATGCAAAGAAAGGGATACCACACGTTTCAAGTGTAACTTAAGCAACAACAATTCAATTGTGCACCTAGACATTTTTTTCTATTTGCTGATGGTCCACCTCCCAAAACACTGATTTCATATGGTGCTAGAGACTGGGTATGAACATCTATGCCACCAAATGAAATCAGTTTTTGAGTGCAGTTTTAAACAGGTCTTCTGGTTGTAGAAGACAAAATGCTAGATACCTCATAATTACCACAGCATCATATTTAAATAACGATTAAGAAAACACCGAAGTGGTCAAAACTGGCTGATTAAAATCCTCAGTCCTCAACTGGTCCGACGAACGCTGGCGTAGATGAAAAGTTGTCCAGTGCTTATCGTGCTTATTTCCACTGCGTCATGGTCTGTTCTAAAAATGAACAGCAGAGGGAGTAGTTACATTGCAAGCCAGAAACACACAATCACAACATGCAAACAAAAATATAAATAAATAAAAACTTCCAATATATGAATGTAAAACTATCGAACTGCTACAGTTTAGCCTCCAGTATAGATTCCAGATTATATTAACTAGCTTGATGCAAGTTAAAATTGTATGATTTTTTTTGGCTACCAAATAAAATAAATAAAGACAATAGAACCTAAATGCTGCACCACAAAGGATGCAAGGCCTTTTGGAGACAAGGGTGAGGTAATTAGAAGATGAGGAACAAGTTAGTAACTAATCAATGATAAACCTGCAGTTAGTCTGGCAGGAGTCTAGGTTTAACAGGAAGTGAAACTATTTCAAACCAGTTGACTTCACAAAAGGAAACTGAAAACTAATAGCGTTGACCAGTATATAAAAGACAAGCCAAAGAGTTATATCTGTAGCTGCTTGACTGACACAAATGGACTTAGCCAGCTGGTTACAGTGAAACAGATAAAAGTATTTGTAATAAGAGTTTTTACCTCTCACATAAGTTGTTCACGCCTAAATTAGGATGTTTTTAAAAATGTTCAAGTATCATGTCTGATGGTCTTCCTTTAACAAAACCTCCAACTATGTTTGTTAAATAGCTGAAAGATAATCCCCAGAGATTCACTCATTCGTGTATCCCTCCTTCTTCTCCCTTCCTCCCCGCAACCTTCATGAGCCAAATTCTGATCTGAGTAAATATGACTCCAACATGTTCAGACAAAAAACAAAAAAACAAAAACCTAATTAATACATGTTTTCATTCCAGAACCAGAATTGTCACAGACTGTTCCCCAAAAAAACAAATCCAGATGAGTTTAGAGAAAGGAAATTAAATTCTACCCTCCTCAGGCTTTGCTGGTAAATGCAATGCATCACCACACTGAAGTGAATGACTAAGCCGAGAGAGAAGCCAACGAAAGCTGTGGCCCCTGAAGCTTAGGGGCGTCCAGAGACTGTAGTCATCAATTTGTCTCTCATTTTCTTAATAACACTGTCAATCTAGAGTCCGAGAATTCGGCGTGAGTCAGTGAGGGGGTCATCACTCATCTGTGAGGAGCAGAAGTTAGCAGGGAAGTTAGGAAGGACAGAGATGACATATCATTTCCTCTGAGCTCGTCAAGTAATGCATCAGTTTCTTTTTTTTTTTATCTAAATAGGTTGTTATATTGTTATATTATTTGCCTTGGTATCATGTTACCAAGGCAAATATAATAAGGGAACGGCCTTGACGAAAAAGCTCTCCCTCCATTAACAAATGACTGCTGCTAAACATGACATTTAGGATGAAGAAAGTGTTGACCAATCACAGTAGAATAAAACTCTGCAAGATTTTCAAGGCCTAGCTTCTGAGTTAAAATTTAAAAAAAAAGTTTTTCTCTGGATGACGTCTTAAAGTCAATGCAACATCGATTATGAAATTGAAACAAAATTGTATTTTAACTTTTAAGAGTCTCAGGGGGGGATTCTCTTCTTCTGTCGGACCACCTGCTCATCCTCACATTTCCAGCCTCTTCCCAGTCATGTTATATGGAAATCTTAGCATTCCCTTTGAGTGTGAATCTTTCATTCATTCATTCATTCATTCATTCATTCATTCATTCATTCATTCATTCATTCATTCATCTTCCACCACCATATGTCCTTAGAATAAAGTTTGAGTTTTACGTCATAACTCACGATTCATTGGATTATTTAGGATCCCATTAGACCACACGTCAAACTAAAGGCCCGGGGGCCAAATGCGGCCCGCCAAGCCATTTAGTGTGGCCGGCAGGGGCTTAAAAAGCCTTGAGTAAAGTCCATGTCGTCCAAAGTTTCTTAACTTAATGAAATTAATTTTGTTTTTATAACACAGCAATGAACAATATTTGTAGCTTGAATAAATAATAATCAATTGTAGAAATGTGGAGTAGTTACATCTATACCAGCGGTACCCAATTTTTTTTGTTCCATGGACTGGTCAGTACCAGCTGTTACTACAGACCGGTAGCAAGGTACTGAAGCATCGAAGGATTATTAAATTTTCAAGATAAAACTCTCTATTCTGTTTGTACCAGAGTCTAAATGACCTATTATTTTAAAATATTTCCAGATTATCTTTAAATAAAGAAAGTACATGGACATGACGGGATTTTCTTTGAATGAAGTAAATTAGTAAAAATTAAGTACATTTTTTTCACTGTGTCCCACTGCGGCCTGACCTATGGACTCGATCTGGCCCGTGGACCATGGGTTGGGGACCCCTGATCTATACAGTCTTCCATTTACAACCGTACCTTCAAGGAGAACTGTATTGCTGATGTGGCCCCCAGGTGAAAAGAAGTTTGACATCCCTGCATTAGACTAAATATGTCCAGCGGTTTAACTTCCCCTCTTCCTCTTTGTGACCGTCACCGTGCACATCTCCTGACAGCCGCTGTCCTCCAGTCAACACCTCAACCTCAGTCCCTCAACACTCACCTCCACCCATCCCACCCTGCCTGCACTTTCGTCACCTCCTTTGTCTTCTCCCCTTTGTCCCACTGAAAGGCGGACTTCCTTCCATCCATCCATCCATCGTCACCTTTACACCTGCTTTACAAATACGGTTTATTCTGCTTCGCTTCCACTCACCTTTTGTTTCCCTTTCTGTCTGTTAACTTTACATAAAAAAAAAATTACGCAAAAGGGAAGAGTGTGAGAACAACAGAAGGAAATTGTTGAACAGTGTAGTTTAAAGCGACGGGAGGCATTGAATGGCAAGCTGAGGGGATCCTGTGACGCCATCAGGTCATCAGCTCCACCTGTCCAAGACATGGAACTGTAGACTTTAAACCAGTTCCTGCTCTCTCTCCCTCCCTGTTCCTGAATGGCAGGTGTGGCCGCCTGCCATTCAGGAATGAGTGACCTGTAGTTATGGCAGTGCACGCTTAAATGAAGACTCTCTGTGTAGCACCACGTTGACTCGGTGAGAACCAGGCCAAAGTGAGGGATGTGATCCGCATCCACTTTGAAGCAGCATCTAATAAATCCAAGCCATTAGATGCAAAACGACTGCGGAGGAGGAGGAGGAAGAGGAGGAAGAAGCTGTGTCACGACTTAAAACGATGCAGGTACGTCAAATTCACGTCAAATGAAAGTGAAGCCACGCCAACACAGCATCGCTGGATAACAACACCTGAAGTTAAGGAACAGTACAACACAACACAACACAACACAACCGATATCCACAGACCTGTTGCACACGACCCATCACTCTCCAAATCGCTGCAGCCTCAGACTTAATCCAGTGCTGACTACACGCTGTCCCACAGTGCAGGCCTGTGCCGCAAACTGTGCCGTGACTGTGTTTGTGTTTTGAGTGTGTATGAACTGAGCAGAAAATTAGTTATAAGACAGAGATGGCACAGCCCCTTCTCTCTCTCTCTCTCCCTCTCCCTCCCTCTCTCCCTCCTCCTCCCCCCTCTCTCTCTTTTATACACACAGATGCACACTTTTCCTTCCAACTCTGACTAATCTGACTCTCTCTCTTCTTCTCCCCTCCTGCCCCTGTGTCTCTCTAACTCTCTCTCTCTCTCTCTCACTCTCTCTCTCTCTTATCACTATCTCTCTTTCCCGCGTTACACTTTACAGTCAGTGAGTGGCTGCTTTGCCAGAGTATTTATTGTAACTGTGAGTCAACATGAGCTCACACACACACACACACACACACACACACACACGCGCAGCATGACTAAGCTTCCTTCATCTCGCCAAAACCGTTGCTCCGTTTATTAACGTTTTTTATCCAAAAATCACACGTGTATTTATTTTCCCTCCTCACTTGCACACGACCGTTTCCGACGTAGCTCGTGGTAGTATTTGCCCTGAATTAGTTTTATTTTTTTATTTTTAGTCTTTACCAGAACAACCCTAGAAACTTCCTTCGTGAGTAAAACCCACACAAAGTGGGGAATTTCCCAGTGAAAGCGGGAAAGGGAAGGGTGAAATTGTATCCTCATGGCGATGGTAGGTGAGAGGGCAGGAGTCACAAAGCAGGAATTTCACCATGAATTCCTCTGCTGTGACGGGGGAAAAAAAAAAAAAAAGACTAATTCTGTCAAAGACCAGAGGCTGCGTACAACGTGTACCAACACACAC